TCCGAGCTCGCTGCATAATCAACGCAATCAACTTTCTCCAAGTGGCATCAGTAGCATGATGGATGGAGGGAATCTTTCTCTTGAACATTCAGTTCAGCAGTGGCAGTCGAGGTGCTAGAAGGAGCTACGTTTCAGTACAGATTACTTTGGAAGCAGCCCAAACCCCCTCATATATAACAAAGATCTCCTTTTCAGTTGGAGTGTAGCACTCTTCAGACCCTTTGAACACTCAACTCCAGAATCACAGGGCTTGGCCTTGGGTCTCTCCCAAGGCTCTTTGCCACAAACTCCAAGTGGGACCTTTCTCTCCAGCAGGAGTGTGTAGAGGGTGTTCTTTACATCCTGATCTGTCCATACTGGCCCCAGGGCCACAGCACGGGCTATCTCCTGCTTAATCTGCTCAAATGCCTGCTGCTGCTCAGGACTCCACACAAAATTATTCTTCTTCCATGTCACCTGATAGAGGTGGCTTACAATGAGGCTATAGTGTGGAACATGCATTCTCCAAAAGCCCATTATGCCCAGAAAATATTTTGTCTCTTTCTTATTAGTGGGTGGAGACATGGCAGTGATTTTGTTGACCACATTTGGTGGGATCTGATGACATCCATAGGAACTTTATCCCTAGGAACTGAATTTCTTCTGCAGGTCCTTTCACTTTGCTTCACTTAATAGTGAAACCAGCATGCAGAAGGATCTGGATTATTTGCTCTCCTTTCTTAAAAACTTCCCCTGCTGTGTTGTCCCATGCAATAGTGTCATCAATGTACTGTAAGTGCTCCGGAGCACCACCCTGTTCCAGTGCACCTTGGATCAACCCATGGCAAATAGTTGGGCTATGTTTCCACCCCTGGGGCAAACGATTCCAGGTATACTGAATGCCCCTCCAGGTGAAAGCAAACTGTGGCCTACACTCTGTGGCCGATGGAATGGAGAAAAAGGCATTAGCAATGTCAGTGGTGGCATACCATTTGGCTGCTTTTGACTCCAGTTCAAACTGGAGATCTAACACGTCTGGCATAGCAGCGCTCAGTGACTTAAGTCAGGCCATGGGAGTCTACTGTCAGCCTCCATTCTCCACTGGCTTTACACACTGGCCATATGGGCCTGTTAAAAGGTCTGTAAGTTGCTGATCACTCCCTGACTCTCTAGTTGATGAATCTACTTATGAATGGGGAGCAAGGATTCCCTGTTGCTGTGGGTACTGCTGTCTGTGCCGTCTATTATATCTTCTTGATTGCTCTCCATTCTGTCCAGTTTTTCAGATACATTTGTGATGGCCGAAACATAAGCTCTTAGAGGAGTTAAATGCAACTCAAAGTCTTGAAGTTTATTAATTAGTTCATTTGTAAGGGGTCTTCTTTCCCCTCTGCCATACATTGCTGCAAATGTGCTGGTATACCTTTCTGGTGCAGTCTTTGTGAGTATACGCCATATATTTGGTGTACACCTGACTCTCTCAGGATTGTGCTCTTGGTCTGGCTTGTCAGCAATGAAAATGGGGCTATGTAACATTTCCACCACAGCGTATTCTCTCAAATAACAGATGCCTTTTCCCATATTAGTCCATTTCTTTTTCTCAAGCATCAGATCATCTTTGAAGGGGCATTTTTCTTTCACCTCTAACAGCATCCGCTTCCAAAGGGTGAAGGACCCACTCTGTCAGTGGCTGAGTCCCTAGCAATGCCGCTCAGTTGGTGAGCTTCTTTACTATCTGTTGGCCCCATTGTCCCACCATTGAAGTAACTAGGCGAGAACAGGTTCATTTGGGTGGCATGAAAAGTCTTTTCTCAGATCTAGAATTTCATTCATTTTCAGAGATCGATCAGTAATGGTAACAATGTCTTGCTCACCTCCTGCTCTTTCAGGACTTCTTGTCACCCTCCTGGGCATTGGTGACCCCGGTCTTACTGAGGGCCCCTCCCCTGGACTCAGGGGCACTTCCCCTAAATCTCAGAGCCACTCCTCTGGACCTCTTTCCTCCTCTTCTTCTGCAGTGTCTGCTTCCTCTAGTTTCCCCTCCTCCTCTTTCTTCTGTTCGAAGTGAGTCGAGATTCGTTTCATTTTCTGTCCTCTTGCAGGAGCAACTGACATTGATTCTGGTGCCTCCTGTAGTCAATTAGGTTGGTCAGTTTTGATGCTCTCACTCTCCAGCTCAGCTCAGAGTCTGTCTCGTTCAATTATTACGGTAGTTAGTTCCGATTCAAGCATGACTTGATGAGACTGAATTCTGCTTAGTTCAATTTGGAGACTGAATTTTACATGCTGGAAAGCATCTCACTCAGTTCGGAGTACATCCTGTTTGGACTTGAGGATGTCCCTCGTGGACCAGGGGGTGTCTCGCTTGGACTGGAGGGTGTCTTGTTGAAACTGAAAGTTGTTGAGTTTGGATTGAAGGGAGTCTCTCTCAGTTCAGAGGGTATCTCTCTCAGATTTGAAGGTGTCCCATTTGGACTGGAAGGCGTCTTGCTCACCCCAGGGTGCGTGTCATTTGGACTGGAGGTCTTTTCTCTCAGATTGGAGATTCTCAGATTGGAGACTCTCTCGCTCAGCCAGGAGATTCTGTTTCTCAACAAGAAGACTCCTTTTCTGAACATGGAGATTCTCCCTATCAGCTCTGAGACATTCTCTTTCAGCACAGAGACTCTCTCAATTTCAGAAACTCCCTCTCTGGGATAGTATTTAATAAGGCTTATTAAATACTTATTTACTACTTACAGTATTAAAAAAAAGTATTTAATAAGCAGTAGCCAGGCCTCAAATCATTTGTGCCTCCTCAGATCTGCCTGAGCCACAGTGTTCCTGTCTCAAATATCTGTTTTGACTCTCAGGGCTTTTCAGGTGCTCAGGAGTAAAGTTCCATGACAAAGAAGATGTCCATCTCTTCTGAAGTCTCTCTCGAACATCTCCACACTCCTTGCCACTCAGGATTCTCTGGTTTTGGGGAATACTTCTTCAAAATATGACGAAAACAAACACTGAGTGAAATGATGAGTATTATATTCAGGGAGATTAACATGATCAGATGAGCATCCAAAAAATGCATAAAGGATTCAAGGAAGAGACTGGGAGCCTGTTTAAAAACCACGTTCTGTAGAATTAGCAGCTTCCTCTGGAGTTGTATGCCACATTGTATGCAGATACCAGATAGTTATTTCCATCAGTGTTTTCAATCGATTATGTATACCTATAACTCCATAGAGCAAAGTGGCAAACTTAATTAAGACCCAGCATGTTTTGAGCATTAAATAAGAAAAAACGATGGCATGCAGTCCCTTGAAAAGCAGTTTCTCAAGAGAAAGCACTGTTGTTTTTTTTTCTCTTTACAGAAGCAAGATAGCAGTGTTCAAAGTTTACAAATATCCCAAAATACTGGCAGTCCTCCTGGACTTCCAAGGTCAAGTTTTTCAGCACAGAAACCTGAAGTGCTGATAAAGTTCCCTAACGAAGGTCTCCAGGAGCAGAGAGAGATTCGTTCTAAAAGCTAAAAAGCAGCTCTTGCCAGCATTCTCGACCAAGAATGTCAATGGTTTACCGGCTGGTTCAGCCCAGTTGCATGACTAGCATGGTGGAGGGATCTGAAGATCCCAGTCTCCGGAAAAGGGAAACGGGATCCCAAATAATTAAAAACAGCGGCAATGATTTGAGGAGAAACAAACTAATTTTCTAAATATGGTATCAGAGTGCAAGATAACACACTATAATGCAATATAATTAGAATTGAAGCTAATAAATCAAATATAATGAGAGAAAGAGTGCCTGAGAACTGAAGGTCTCACCATATGCTGAGGTGAGATGCGCAGTCGGACAAGTAGCAGTGAGGAGAGCCAAAGGAAAAAGGGCATCAGCTGGCCTTGCCAGGGGTTGTATCTGCTGTCTGAAAGCAAAGCCCCCTGGGGTATGTAGTTCTTCTCTTCCAGACAGGTGCCCAGAACTGGAGCATTAACTCTAATTCCCAGTGCACTACATGATGTTATGATGTGGAATAATGATCACCAAAAATCATAAAACCATGACACTTCTAAGCCTGGTAGTCACAGTGTAGATATCTTGCTTCTGAAGCCTTATTTGCATTTTTCACATCTAGGTAGAGACTGGGGGAGTAAATCCCTCCCCCCCACACACACACTGTAAGGGCAGAGCAGGTCTGAGACTGCCTCATGAGTCTGAATGCATACATGACATGCATCCCAGGGTTCTGAAGGAGCTGACTGAGGCAGTTGCTGAGCTGCTCTCCACGATATTTGAAAAGTTGAGGCTGTCAGGAGAGGTCCCAGGTTACTGGAAAAAGGGCCATGTCATTCCCGTTTTTAAAAAAGGCAGCAAGGAGGACCCAAGGAACTACAGGCTGGTGAGTCTCACCTCTGTGCCTGGGAAGATCATGGAACAGATCCTCCTGAACGACATGATTGTTCACATGGGGAGTGAGTGTGAGATCTGAGACAGCCAGCACAGCTTCACCAAGGGAGGGTCATGACTAACTAATCTGGTGGTCTTCTATGATGGAGTCATGGTGGACAAAGTGACAAGTGTCATTTACCTGGTGTTGAGCAAGGCCTTTGACACAGTCCCCCACTACATCCTTATCTCCAAATTGGAGGGATGTGGATTTGATGGGTGGACCACCCGATGGATAAGGAATTGGTGGAAAGGCCTCAGAGGGCGGTGATGAATGGCTCTGTGTCCTGGTGGAGGCCGGTAATGAGCAGCATCCCCCAGGGGTCTGTCTTGGGACCGGTGCTCTGTAACATCTTTATCAATGACATCGATGATACTGCAGGAGACTGTCAAATACATAACGAGTGCACCGCACACTCAGAGAAATCACAGCTATGGTCATATATCGCAACTGTGATTTTTGAAGGTAACAACAGAATCATTTTGTCTTGTCTTATTCCCTGCAGTTAGTGGAAAAGCACACTGGAAGATCATGCTGGTGCTTGTGCAGCTCTGATGACAGGCTGTACAGGCCTGTCATCAGAGTTCCACTGCAAACCTACCTGCAAAAGCTTTGCCACAGCCACATTTCTTCACAGAGACCATCACCAAGCTGTAGTGAACTGCATGCAGGCTGCTCCAATTTCTTGCAAGAACCCTTACAAGGGTTGGAATTCACACAGTGAGTGACCACGCACACTAAGTTCTCAGGTACAGTTATAATAACAGACAAACTATTTTTTTCCATACACAGAGCTGGTTGAAGGATGCCCCACTCTCACGTGAAGGCACCAACACACCGGCTCATCAGATCTGCAGTTGCTGGTGTCCTGTTATGCTTCTCATGCGCTGTTTAGGCCACAGCCGTCAGAGCATCAGTCAGCGCAAAGCTCATTAAGAACCACCACAGCAAGGACATCACTCTGCCCTCTTGGCCGTAATCACCGCCGCGGCACGCGGACTGCCGGCACTGCCTACACACCGCCCCGCCGCCCACCCCGCCCCGCGCCCCCTCGGCCCCTGAGCCCCGCCCCCGCTCGCGGGGCAGCTTCGAAGAAACGCCCACCCCGCTCTGCCCTCCTCTGATTGGTCAAAACGCCAGGGACAGACCGCAACGCGATTGGCCAGCGGCGCCGTCACTCAGCGGCACGACGGCAGGCTCGCGTCGGCTGGGCTCGGTAGCGGTTTGACGCCGCCGTTGCGGATGTGTACGAGTGCGCGCGGGTACGCGCTCGCGGTAGGGGGGCGGGGCGGCGCGCGGCCAGGCCGTTAGGCGGTCGGCGAGCGGCGCATGCCGGCTAGGGCCGGCTCCCCGCCCCGCCGCGGCCCGTCACGTGACGGCATTCAGTGGTTACGGCCGAAGCGGGCGCCTTCTCGCCGCCGCCGCTCCTCGCGCGCCGCCCGGCGGCGGCCGTTTCGCTTTCATTTCCCGGAGGCCGAGGCCGAGCGGCTGCGGCGGCGGCGCGGAGCGAAGCGGCCCGCAGTGCCGCCCCCATCCCCCCGCCCCGCCCCGCGCGGCCCCACCCCCGCGGGCTCGCGGTGAACTGAGATTCCCCTTCCCCTCCCCCGCCCGGCACACGCACACCGCACACACACACACCTTGGCCTCCTCTTCCTCCGACTCCGGGAGAGAGAGAGAAAGAGAAAAGCAGAGGGCGAGGCGCTGGGCCTGGGCCTCCCGCACCGCGCCGCCGCGCACAACATGGAGGAGCTGGTGGTGGAGGTGCGCGGCTCCAACGGGGCCTTTTACAAGGTACCGCGCGCTCGGGCCGGGCCACGGGGGAGGGAGCGGGGCCCGGGACGGGAGGAGGAGGAGGAGGAGGAGACGGCGGCGGCGGCGGCGGCTCCTCCCCGCGTGGAGGGAGAGCGGGGCCCCGGGGCGGGAGGGAGGAGTGGAGGCCGCGGCCGGGCCGTCGCCGTGCCCGGGAGATGCGGGCCCGGAGCTGTGCGGGCGGCTGAGGGAGGGAAGGCCCCGCCGAGGAGGAGGCCTCGGCCTTCGCCCATTGTGGGAAGGGGAGGCCCCGGGGCTGCTGGGGCGGGAGAGTAGGGCCGGGGCCTCGGTCTGCCGGCGCCGGAGCGAGGATCGGGGCCGGGGATGGGGCGTTAATTGTTAAATCCTTGGCTTTTGTCGCTGCTTAAGGAAAGTCTTTCTCGCTGTCCAGGTTCCCGGCGGAGCTGCGCGGCGTTTAAGGCGGGGGAGGAGAGGGGTGTTTGTTCCATGCACGTTCACGATGAGAGCTGTTGTCAATTATTTTTCTTAATGCCGCGGCTGGGGACGTTGCATATTAACATTAAAGAGAGCGTTGCTTGACCAAAACTGTTTGCTGAGCTGCTAAGTGCATCTTATCATCAATTGTACCTTTTCCTGAAACTACTGAACAGCGTTCCGTGTTCGTTTCCAAGTCTGTGTGCTGAATAAAGCCATCACTGATTCTTCAATGCACGTATTGAGTTCTTAATATTTCTGTTAATACCGTGTAGTATTGGCATGGCTTTGCTTGTGTTGGGATGCATTAATCAGTGCATTATTAGGGTGCAAGGCGTGGTTCTGCCCTGTTCCCTGAAAACCCAAGTTCGAGCATGGTGAATTTGGGCCTACTGTCATTGTCACGTACACCTGTTACAAACATACCAGGAGCACTCCTCAGTCGTTTTCTGCAAGTTTACCGTTATTTAAATGTTGTAGTATTTTAAAATTTGGACGTTGTTATTGTGCAACATCAAATATTTATGTTAGTAAGGAAAGAAGAGGTAGAATTTCACGCTCTGATGTTAATGTGGTAGGGCAGGCTGGTGTCCGAATGATACAGGTCCAACACCCTTGACTTGAGGTTTTTCCATGGAGACAATTTGAAAACTTATTTCTAAAATACATCCTCATTCTGGAGAAGTTTAAAATAAAGAGAAAAGGAAAGTATGGAAGAAGTCTGAAAGCTTGGTGCACGTATGTATGCTCTGGGTTTGTGATGTTGAAGTCCTGCATGTGCATATCACTTCCTGTAATTAAGTTATTTAGTGCTTTGAAAAATCAGCTTTAAGGTTTTTAAAGGTACAGTATTTGCATAGGAAAAAACACGGGCATAAATGTATTACTTAAGAGAGAAGTTCTGATGGGGCTTTCATCAAATTATATAACAATATTTACAAAATAAATGATACTGAAAATGATATTGTACATTCTTTAGTAACCAATGTTGTTAAACCAGGGAGAATATAAAAGTTCTGTCAATTTTTTTTTTTAAGTCACATGTAGTTCTAATGTCATTATGTTCTTTTTCCCTTTCCTCCAAAATGTATGCACACTTCTGATTGTAGTTAAGGTAATAATTACAGATAGGCATATACTCACAGCAATTTATTCTTTACTGTAGTTCAGTGTATCTAAGTTCTGACATGGGCGTTGCCTCTAAATTGGGTATTATGTTTGCCTTTTAACTTTTAGAAATTCAAAAAGAGGAATTTTATTTTCCCTACCCTCCTTAGTCTCTAAGGATTGGTTGGGAGGGATTGGTTGAATTATCTAAGGGAACTTAATTAGGACATATTGGTTTATTACACTTCACGTGTATTGACTGTCTAGGTGGAGCATTACACTTAGTATAAATGGTGCAACATTTTTTTTTTAATTTTTTTTTTTTTAAAAGCAATCTCACACAGTTATAATCAATGTAGATCAGCAATTTTCCTCCAGCCTAAATTGCTGGAGTTTTAGTTACAGATCTTTCATGTATCGTAATGACAAGTGTCATGCTTCTATTAAGTAATTTATCTGAGTGTTCTCTTTCTTTTGAGTTTTATGCTTGTCTTGCAGATCCGGGATTTGATTATAAAATGGATTGATTAATCCAACATAACAAGAAGTGTGGTGATGTTAAATGTGGACATAATTGCAAGACTTGTTTTTTTGTTTTGTTTAAAAAGTTTCCTTGAAATGTTTTACAGCAATAACACAAAACACATCTAAAGCAGAATTTCTTAATTCCATTTCATGGTTTACTGATGCTTAGTGGTAGTTTCTTCGGCTTCAAATCATTTTTGTGATCTTCATTATTACATGCAAATGTTTTTGCAAACAAAACCTGCTGCTATGAGGATGTAGAGGGGAAGCACATGAGGCTGCTAGAGTCGTGAACGTGTGGAGTGGTACAAGTGAGTACCTCATTTCCCCTTGAGGCTTTCATTGAGTCTCTAAAGACCATATGAATTCAAGTCCATAAGCATGTTCTGATTTTGAGCGTTCCCAGCAACATCTTGATCTTGAAAGTAGGAAACTGATGCCTAATTGTCACCTAGAAACTAGTGAGAGTCATTAATTAGGCTTTTTTCTGCTTATGCTGCCTGTGGGACTTGATCCAGAATGCGTGCTGAGATGCATCTAGAGGGACGGCGTTCCATGCGTAACACAGGAGATGATTTTGGTACTTCAGTAGGTGGAGTATGCATTCAGAGCGTGGAAAATTTTAACTCAGCTTTCGTACTAGTCAGGTACATTGTTCCACAAGAGTTCTTGAATGCATCATTTTGATAGCTGGATATTAATTTTTTCATGGAGTAATGATTTAATTACATTAAGAATGCTTCACAATTCCATGAACTTTTTCTCCTTTCCCATACGAATTGTTCCATGGGAAGTACAGTGCAGTGAATAAGCATGATTTAGGAATAATCACTAATTTAGTGCCTAAAAATGCTTTGTCATGACTTAATATATTGCTTGGCCCACAATCTCTATAAAAGATTAACTACCTTCTTTTTTTTTTTTTTTTTTTTTTTTTTTTTACTTTGAAGGCTATTCCAGCAGCCAGGGCTGTGTATCTTAAGGGGAGGGAACTGCCCTTCAGCAGCTCTCAGCTAAGTAGCTAGATCGTGGAGTGCTGTTAGGTGCATCTCTTAACATCTGTTGGTTCATGTAGGTACAGTAATTGAAGTTTCCATGTTCTTATTCTCAGACAGTCTGTTGTCCAATCTTTCCAGCCTTAGCTCTAGATATCATTTCCTTCAAAAGGGGAATGTGGTGGATATCTTTCCAGCATGGGATTTGTTTTGTTTTTTTTTTTTTTTTCCTTTCCCCAGTTTGGGAATAATTACTGCTTGTAATCTCTGCTGGAGATAGGAAGCATCCTGTTGGAGGCAGTATACACTTAGGAAGCATCATCATTCTCTTTGTTCATTCACAGTCCTTCTGAGGATGATAGCCTGTGCTATTTTTTCTGATTCAGTTTTTGTTTCTGTTACTTTTCTTCTTTTCCTGGCCTACTTTTTTGTATGGTGTGCCTTTTCTCAGATTTGGTTTGCTGTTCCTTGCAGCAGGAATAAAATGTTACAGAACTGTTGGGCAGATGTAGATACTGGTTTGTATAAATGGAACAGCCTTATTATTTTTGCCTGTTCTCTCTTCTTAGATTTAGTAGAACCATTTTAATAATGGAGGATATCTGATGTAAGGGTTAGGGAGGACAACAACTGCAAAAACACTTAATGGCAGCTGGAGCCTGTGTTGTTCCTTTGACGTGTCCGTTATGCCGTTTAGCACATAAATAAGTATGTAGGTGTCTCCAGTAAGTCTCTTTTTCTGTTTAGTCATTCATAAAACTTAGACCATATCTTTATCATTCAGCTCTTCCTAGAATGTCAGTGTTCATATGTGACAAAGACACTGTCGCTGTTTGATTGTAATCTTTTTTTGTTTATGTCTGAAGCATGGAGAAAAATGCAAATCGTTAATGTGACTGAAAGTCAAATCTGGTGTAGGAAACGTGCCACAGTTTGATTCTTCATCTCAGGGAAGAACAAGCAGTCCTAGCCTCTGTAATACTTCTATTTACAGAATTAAAAGCACAACTTCCAGTGATTTGAATTTCTTCTTATTAATTGAATTAATTCTTCTTAATTTGATGTCACTGCAGTTGTGATATCATAGCATGCTGTAGTCAAATGAGACAGTGTCTCATTTCCTTATTTTAGTTCCATCTAGTTTCGCTGTTTTTAGTGCTTCTTGCGTGTGTTCATATTTCTCGTAGCCAGTGTTCTGTCCCTTTTTGAGTGTGCGTTTCAAATCCACACATATGAACCTTTAGATTTGAATTTCCATGCCCAATTTGAACTTGTTATTTCCAGAAGGTCTGAGGATTGCTTACTGTGCTTTTGGTAGCAATTTGTGTGAAATGAGTACCTATCCTCTGCCTTCAGTGACATCTGGGACTGCCCTGTCCTGTTATTGTGGATTTGACTTGTGATGCTAATGATCTGTTTCTTCTTTTCAGCATTATGTGTAGTTTTCTGTGGTGTGTGTAATAAAAAATACAGTTGTGTTGAACGTTGCTTTCAGCTTTCCAAGTGCTTTAATGATTAAGTTGAATTTTTTTATAGCTACTTACGAAACTTGATGTTTCAAAACATTATGGTTTGTACTTAGAAATGCACAGATGCTTAGGTGTACAAACTTAGTGTTTAATTTTTACTTAATACAGCTCTGTTTAATTTCTTATACTTGTGGAGAATAGATATAATGCTGTAATATAGGCTATAAAAACTGATCTGATCAAGGCATTGGATTTTTTTCTTTGTCACAAGATTGGAACAAGGAAAGACAGCTTTCTCTGATTAGGTAGAATTAGGGGACTGTATGTTTAGGCTATTAATATATTTCGCCTGATTGTTTTCTAAGCGTAAAGCTCATTACAGAAGTAGACTGAGGTGTTGTGTATGCTGTATTTTTGAATTGGGGTATTTTGCTAGGAATTTT